TTTAAAGATTTTATTTATTTATTTGAGAGAGAGAGCATGAGTGGGAGGGGCAGAGGGAGAGAGAATCTCAAGCAGACTCCAAACTGAGCAGAGCCCAATGCAGGGTTCACTCTCACGACCCTGAGATCACAACCCGAGCCGAAACCAAGGGTCAGATGCCTAATCAGATGCTTAACCAACTGTACCACCCGGGCACCCCTAAAGATTTATGTTTAAGTAATTTCTACACCCAACATGGGGCTCAAACTTACAACCCTGAGATCAAGAGCCTCACATTACACTTACTGAGCCAGCCAGGTACCCCTACATTTTTTTAAATCACCAAAAAACTAGGGTAACAGTATATAGTACCTGAAATTTGGTATTTTGCTTTTTTGTTTTATATAATTATTTAATTAATACCTACTGAAGGACAGCCAGGTTTCTAATTTTTTTGCTATTAAAACATACTGCAGTTAAAACCTTTGTATTTATATCTTTATACATTTATGCTAATATATCTGTAGGCTAGTTTACTAGAAATGGGAGTGTTTTGGGATATTTAAAATTTTTATAGGTTCTGCCAAATTACCTTCTGAGAAAGTATAGCAGTTTATATTCTCTCCAAGAGTATAATTTTACTACAGCCTTATCTGTATTGATGCTCTTACTTCATCCTCATTTTAGTAACCCACATGTCTTCTTGATTATTTAAGAAATAAATAACAATTTGTTGTTGAAAATTAGAGGTTAAGATTTTCTTTCTTTCTTTATTTTTTTAAAGATTTTATTTATTTGACAGAGAGAGACACAGCCAGAGAGGGAACACAAGCAGGGGGAGTGGAAGAGGGAGAAGCAGGCTTCCCGCGGAGCAGGGAGCCCGACGCGGGGCTTGATCCCAGGACCCTGGGACCATGACCTGAGCCGAAGGCAGACACTTAACGACTGAGCCACCCAGGCGCCCCGGTTAAGATTTTCATTTTCCCTTAACATTGTGGTATTATCATGGGTAGTAGGACAGAACTCAGAAAAGAGGAACCAGGGTGCGTGGCTGCTCAGTCAGTGGAGCTTGTGGCTCTTGATCTTGGGGGGTCATGAGTTTGAGCCCTTTGTTGGGTATAGAGATTGCTTAAAAAAATAAAATCTCAAGAAAAAAGAAAGAAAATGAGATAGTAATGATGTTCATAGGATATCTCATACGTGACTCCTTTTGTCTTTTCTAGCTTGAAATACCTGTGGACTCCTTATGTGTGTATGTTAGCAGCATTTGGTGTATGTTCTCCTGAACTTTGGGTGACACTTTTCAAGTGGCTTCGATTACGAACTGTACACCCCGTGTTGTTGGTGAGTCATTGTTATTTTGGGTTAAGTACTTGTTTCTTTTTCAATTATATAAATGGAAACCCCATTGAATACAGTTGAAATAGCATGAGTAAATCACATTATGACTTGCAGGTGAAAAAGAGATTCTGTGAAAAACTTTTTTTTTTTTTTTAAAGATTTTATTTATTTGAGAGAGAGAACGAGAGAGCACAAGCAGGGGGAGCAGCAGGCAGAGGGAGAAGCAGGGTCCTTGCTGAGCAGGGAGCCTGATGTGGGGCTGGATTCCAGGACCCTGGGATCATGACCTGAGCCAAAGGCAGATACTTAATGACTGAGCCACCCAGGCACCCCAAAACTTTTTTTTAATGTAATTTCTGATTATAAAGGCAATGCATTTAAATGAAGACAGGTAAAATAAGGTAAAAATATAAGTGAATCAATAGTGTTAGAGGCTATTAAGAATTATTTTTTATAATATTATTCTTGGTTTGACTTAGAACTATTGTATGTTTTCAATGCAAATAGAACATTTTCACTGTGCCTATTAAGTGCAATGTGTGTACAAGACAAATTAATTTCCTCAGGTAGATTACAGTCTCCCATTCATAAAAACGAACAATAAGAAGTATTGATAGGGTGCTACTGGAACACAGAGAAGGGGTACTTAATTCAATTTTGTTAGGGATTCAAAGAGTTTTTGATCTGAGATTTGAAAGATGATGACTTATTACTCAAATGAAAGGGAAAGAAAGGGTATTCATGGTAGAAGGACTAAACACAGAGAGGCAAAGAACATGTTGTAATCAAAGGGAATAAAAGCAGAGGCAAGGAAAAAGCGTGATATATTTAGTTTCCTTGTCACATAAAATGTGAGATGGGAGAGGTCAAGAAATGAGACTGGAGAAGTCTAGGAGGGTAAGGTCATGGAGGCCTTTGAGTATTATGCTGTGATGCTTGTGGTCTTATCCTGTAGGCAGTAGAAAGGCATTGAAATGAGAGAGTCAGACTTATATTTTCTCCCTATATATAAGTTTATGCTTATAGCTCTTTGAAGGATAGACTTAAGGGTGACAAACTCAGGCCAGGAAGAAGGCTGTTGCCCAAGTACTGGCCATGGTGGATGGAAGTGATAAAAGCTTCAGTATATTGAGTGTTCACCACATGTCAGGTACGGTTTACAAAACATTTCATGTGCTATTCAATGCTTACAAAGACCCTAATGGCTAAGTTTTATTATCTGCATTTTGTAGATGAAGAAACTAAGGCTTAAACTGGTTAAATAACCACATAGCTTGTAAATGTGAAAACCGTGATTTACACCCAGGTTTTTCTGACTCCAGAGCCCATTTAGTTAATACTATGCTATACTGGAGTGAAAAAAATAATAAGAAAAGAAGGTTAATAAGACTTGGTGCTTCATTAAATATGGAGAATAAAGAAGGAGGAGAAATCATAGATATTTCCTAGGTCTCTAGTTTGTGTGACAATGGATTGTGGGGTCATCAGCAGACATGGGACGATAGGAAGAACATTTGGCGGGGAGGTGATGAATAATTATCTTTAGTAATAGTCCTATTGTGTTTTGCCAGTCTTTTTCCAGAGAAATTTATATGTTCGTATTTTAGCATACTTGTATATTGATATATACTGGCTGTTTTTCCTGTGTTAATTCATTGTCTTTTTGTTGTTAGCTTTTTAGGTGGCACAGTTCAGTGTCCTTTGTAAACTCTTAAACTTAAATTCCTGGCAGAATTGTCAAATATTGATTTGTTATTTGAAATATACTGTAAGTGTTACCTTTTTTATGCTCTGCCTTTAATTTATATAGTAAATATGTATGTCTCACTTTATCTCCAGCTTAATATGTCTTAAATTCATTAGTCTTCACTATTCTCACTCTGTGAACTAGGTTCCACACTGACTTCAGTTTCTCTGACTGAAAGCTTTATAAATAAGAATCTGTGATTGGTCATGGAGTCAATGTCTAATACCTCTAGTACATTCTGAAATGTATTTATCCATAATCATTTCTGTTTCAATGTTTTAGGCTCTTATTCTGAGTATGGCTGTTCCCACTATAATAGGTCTCAGCTTATGGAAAGAGGTAAGAAAATCAGATTTTTATATTATTAAAATGCGCTTTATCTTCAAGGTAGTGATAAATTTACGTGTGTGTAGCATATTTATATTGAGACACTATACCAACAACATAAAGTGTGATATTCTTAGTATGCTTAGTTTTTTTTGTTTTTTTTTTAAAGATTTTATTTATTTATTTGAGAGA